GTGGTACATGCTATTTATCATGGCCAATCCCTGACACATTGCTGGCCCCACCTTGTTGCCTATGTGGATATTGTGCAGAGGGCCATTTGGTGGCTGTGTGGAAAAGGGCCGGTAGATTTCTAAGTGACGGTGCGGTCCCAGCAGTCATCTCTGAGGGTAGTAAATGAGGTATTCTCACAGCAAGAGCAACTCTTGAATCACGCGAGTTGAATGAGACTCTCAAGCCCTTGCAGTGTCCATTCCACTTTACCTGTTTTGCAACATACACGGTATTTGGTGTCTGCTTCCCTTCCTTACCCATCTCACTCCGAACTTTTCTGTATCTCTTTCTCTCCCTCGTATTTGGAGACAAGAGCAGTGGAAAGTTGGGGCTTTTTGAGGCCCAGGAGCATGGTGAAAGCCGGGGCAGCTGGAAAGCTTCGGATGTGACCATTCTCTCTATGCCAACTTTTCAAGGAGCTGCTTCGTAACAGCAGCAAACCGGCATGCGCTCTCTTCCTACGCCAGTGAAGAAGGGTCTTGGGCTCTGGAAGTCGCGGGGGGGGCCCACGTGCGACACGGTGCAAGATGCCTGACGTTTGGGATGGGCTTGGGAGGTAGCCCTGCAGTTGCTTCTGTTTCTGGAGCAATGATATTGACAAATGCCCTGGCCCTGGTCATGCAATGCCCTGGGATCTCCCTTTTACCGGGGCGCCTGTTCGAGGAAGCACTAGCTTAAAAGACAAACCAAAGTAATTAGCCTTGTACTGAACAGGCAGCCTGCAACAATGGCTGGAAGCCGTTTGGTTAATAGCTTTTAAAAAGGACATGAAGGCTCACAGGCGGAAAGAGACATTTGAACTGCACTTCCTTCAATGCACTGGGGCTGAGGCTCCTGCCCAGATCTTTGTGAAGTGCAGCAGCTTGGCAGTTCTGCCCATCCGGCTTCCTTTGGTGATTCCCTCCACCGCTTCCCAGCTACAGACTGTTGTATGGAGCAAAAATCATCTGTGTTTAGGGCAGATAGGCATGATTGAGTTGGTCTGTGCACAAGACTGTGAGGACAGGGACTACTAATCCCGAGTCTGATTCATTCTGTGGCCTCAGGCGAATTATAAATAGCCAGTTTATACAGTGCTGTAAATTCACAAAGCATTTCACCTCTCTCTCTCAGGTCCCCCATCTGTACGCTGTGTGGGGCAGAAACCGACCTTTTGTTCTGTGTTTGCTCAGCACAGAGTACAATGCGTTCCTGGCCCACAGGGCTTCAGTAATATGCATAATAAGCAGGAATAGAACTACTTAATAAGTAACTACTTAATAACTACATAATGAGCAGGAATAGAACTCCCTTCTTCAACGAAGGAGTTCCTGAGGATTAATTACTGCATCTCATCTGCAGACTGAGCTAGGAAGAGGTCCCAATGAAGACAAGGATCCTGTATATGCATTGCCCATTGGGCTCCTGTTTGTAAATGGTTTTCAAACTCTGAAGTGCTTCCGGAGTGCGAAATACAGTATGATTGAAGGGTCCAGTATGGGTTAAAATAATAATCTGTCTGTATCTTCATCCAGATCTCAAACCAAATCCAGCCTGAGTCTTTTTCAGCAGTTGGGAAAAGTGTGATCAACGTTGTGTGTGTATCTGTGTGTGTGTGTGGCTATCTATGTACTACATGCACCTGTTGAGCAGCTCCTGGTTTCAGATGGGACAGGAGCTGAAAGTAACGTACAGCGAGGGATTCCTCGCCCAGGCAAAATGGAAGAGTTCCAGAAAAGAATCTCTCGACAACGCCAGACTTGCTACACGTCAACGGAGCTACTCTCAGTAATAAGCTCAGTGTTCAGCCATAACTGTTTGCAGGATCAAGCCCTCAACCAAATCTCGCCGGGCAGAAATCTCGGCGATGCATGCAGACTTTTGGATGCTTACCAAGACTTGCTAGTGGACTACATAGCCTCACTGTGAGAGCGTGTGCTCTGCACACAGGCCTCTCGATGTGCTTCCCCTTCGTTTTCGCTCAAATTGACCATCCGGGTAAGAGCCTGGGCAACACTACACAACACGGACACACTCTCTCTTTAACTCCGGAACCAAAAGACGATTGCAGTTTCGGGCCCAGCTCCCCCATTTGTCGGGTATCCTCACCAGAAACACATGACCCATGCTTGTATCCTATTGCACAGAGACGTTTACTAGCTGGACTTTGCCAAGGGGTTGAGAGAGTTTTCATTAAGAAAATTAAAGCGACACGTCCCTGGACAGCATGTTAGTTGCATATTTTTTTAATGCCAAAATGCAGCAGCTAATAATGAGGATGAAATGCCCATGCAGGGCCAGAACTAAGCACTGAGCCTCAATGCTTTCTCTGGAAACAAACGCTGAGAGTTGGCAGATGCCACCGTGGCTCAATCTGTTGACTTGCCAAGTGTAATGCTACCACTGCTAGATACTGAACAGTTTGCAAGTTAAGCAACACCTTCAATCAGATGTGCGTTCCCATTTGTTATCCTTCAGGAATTTCAGCTGTGTATATTATAGTAGTACTTCGCCTCTTTGTATTTATTTTAGAGGGCTATACTAAAGAACATTATAAACTCCGGCATGTCTACGCTATATGAACTCCATATGCTGAAGCTTAATTTTAAATGCCATTAAAAAAGCACTTAACATTTACAGTAGATCAGTCTGGCTACTTTAGCAGCTTGGCTGTAGTACAGTATGTGAAATGATTGGGGAAGAAAGAACTTCAGAAGCTACAGGTTATTTAAAAAAAAACAACCACCCCGACTTCTACAGAATCCTTTACTGGTATATCTCAATAACTGTCCAAAATCCTATTTTCTAATTTTTTCTTAATGTCCATTTTTTCTTTCATTTCATTTTTAAATGCAATTTTAAGACCTAATTTAAAAAAAAATCTTGGCATTCGGCTTGGATTCCTTGTGTAATTTTTTTACGGTGTGAATTGGGCTGTGTTCACAACCTGAAACGTCCTACTGTATTTATACAGGTGCTTACCTGTGTGAGGACAAAGTTAAGAGGAGTGCAGAGTTTATGAATGAAAATCAAATATGGACATTGGTAAACCACCCCTGTTTAGTCCCAGCTAAATACATCATAAATATCTGGAATTTATGCAGGGTGTTAAAAGAGTCAATTCAAATGAATCCTAACAGGGTCCATTTTGTTGCCTTCTCCTGGAGCAGTTACAAAATGGTGGCAAAGACAGTAACTACCGCTCATCTGACAGGCCCAGATTGTTCAGCGGTCCCTAGCACTCGTCACTTTCCTTGGCCACACATACAGCGATCCCTTTTAGTGGCGGGAAGAAACGTGTTCATTAAAAAGAGAAAAGGGGGAGAAAAGAGTTTAAAATCTCGGGTCTATCCGAGTGTGGGGGAGGGCTCTTTCTGCCAGGCCAAGCTATTAATCCAGATTAAACTCTCATTTAAATTGCTAGACATTTTGACAGAGTAATGATGTCAGGATTTGCCCTGTTGTTGCTAACGATGGTTGTGACAATGCTGCCTCAGGATATAGATATTTTCATCCGCTTTGCCCGTTTTTTTCCTAGTACAAATGAGCCGTCCCGGCATGTTGATGTATTGGATTGTTCCATCTTCTTGCTTAAAGACCGTGATGAGCCAGTTTGCGCAAGTAACTTGTTTTTATTGGCTGGGGAGAGGCTTGGTAATATGGAGCCAACAGAAAAGCTACTCATAAGATTGAAGATGCATGGTCCTGCAAACCCGTACTGCTTACTTGGTGTTTAGTCCCCTGGAAACCAGTGGAAGTACTCGCATGGATCAAAGCTACCCACACCAGCAAGGGTTGCAAGCGCTTACACTGTGACTGTATGAAGTAATTTCCCTGTCACATCTAGCTGTTGTTTGTTTTCACACTGTAAATATTGCTCAGTAATGTAACGTCTTCAGGAGAGATTTTTCTGCTTGTGTAAACTGGCACAACTCCACTGGCTACAACGGTGCTGCGCCAACTGACCCTAGCAGAGAATTTGAGTCAGACGCTCCATTCTTGAACAGAATTTGCCGTATTCAGTTAATGCACAGTAAAGTCAATGGAGCTGCATCTGTTTACATCAGCATAGACTTTGACCCTTAATCTGCTTCCCTCCATTGGAGAGAGGAAACCTGGGGTCTCTGAGGCAGGGCTCTATATTGGGTCAATATCGATTAGTAACACTTTTTTCCCCCCCTGCCAACTCAGGTAAGTTTTTCACCATAGTCGTCGTATTTATTATTTGTATTACCATCACACCTAGGAGCCCTGTCATGGAACATGACCCCATTGTATTAGGTGCTGCACAAACATACTCTCGCTGTCTAATGGCTGGATGTTCATAATTTCTGATCAAAGTTCAGAACTGGGTGTGTAGGAGTTTTCCCAAGAGAACTTGTCTCCTTTATGTTGTTAACCTGACCGTGGGAGGCAGAGATTCCTTCACTGGGGGAGTGTAGTGTGCAGTGTAAGATAGTTCCTTTACCTCTTTCAGACCCATAGTCACCAGCACTCATGCTTTGTGTTCCCTCTGGAAGGCACTAGGCCAACCAGAGTCATTCCCAGATGATCCTGAGTAGCTTTTAAATCAAATCAGCGAATACCCCAGTTTTTTAGGATGAAAATCACCTTCAGGCAGAGGGCCTGTACAAGGCCCAATGCACCGATGAATAAAGGCCCACTCACTGCCCTGAGCATGCATGAGGGATTAAATTCTGAAAAATGGTCAATGCAAGGCCTGCACCCCATGTAAGTCCCCCTTTTGCTCTGTTATGAGGAAGGGGAACTTAAGTGGCGCACAGACCTCGTGTTCGCTCTCCACAGGGATGAATGTCATTCAAATGCCTTAAGTGACACTTAAGTGGTACGTAGTCTTTAGGGTGAATTTCACTTTAGACTTTCACTGGAACCTCCTTTTGGGGCTCCTCTCTGCTGTTCCGTTATTTTGTACTATGTGTTAAGTTACGCACTAACGTATTAACCCTTTGCTTTTCATAAGGAGGATGTTTCCTAGCTACAAAATTAAGGTAACCGGGATGAACCCCAAGACCAAGTACATCCTGTTGATCGACATTGTCCCAGCTGATGATCACCGGTACAAATTTTGTGACAACAAATGGTAAGAGACTATTTGGTTTTTTTTCCTTGGGTTACCAAAAGAGAAGTATTCATATCTGTGTCAACTGTTTGCAATAAGCACTGAGGAGATGGTCGATAAGGACCTTCATGGGGACAAAATACCAGATACCAAAGTGCTATTTAACCTAGCCAGGAAAGGCAGAACAAGAATCAATGGCTGGAACTTAAAGCCAGACAAATTCAAATTAGAAACAAGGTACAAGTTTTTTAATAGCGAGGGCAATTAACCAGCGAACAAACTACTAAGGGAAATGGTGGAGTCTCCATCACTTAATATTTTCATATTAAGCCTGGATGCTTTTCTAGAGGATATGCTTTAGTCAGACACAATGGGGCCAATCCAGGGTAACGGCATGAAAGTCTACAGCCTGTCATACACAGTTTAGACTAGACGATGTAGTGGTCCTTCTGGCCTTAAAAAATTATGTATCTATGAGGCCTTAGATTTGCAGTGGGTTGAGTTTTGACCATTTCTTCTCTAATTATATTTGTTCTGTGGGAAAGAGCCACAAAGCCACCAGGTGAAGATCTGTGGGCAGACCAGATGAATCTCTCTCATTTATCCAAACTGGTGCAACTTTTCTTGACCTCACCTACTAGTTCCAATAGGTTGATGCTGGCGGTTGATGGTGGTCATCTTGGATTTATGTCTTTTGAGCAAAAATACTTCTTGTCACTCTCGAGATGTCATTGTCTGTTGGAAATATCATATGTGTTTTAAAATAAATAAATTGATAACAAACCCACCACCACCAGAGTGTTCTTGAAGTGCCCGCTCTCCTTTCCTGTTGCCATTTTTGAAACACAGAAGCAGTAGGGATCTTTGCAGTTCTTGTGGTGGTAAGGTCCCGTGGGAATTGAGGCCTACCCCAGGTTGGAAGTCACAGCCCCTAGAGGTTGGATAGTTAAAATATGGGACGACTTTGTGGTCTCAGAAAGAGGGAGGACAAGCGGAATTGGTCATCCAGTGTAGCCCAGTTCTGGAGCCATTTTTATTCCCCCCTCCTCCCCCTTTTTTTGCTTTCTCTCTCTCCTCTCACCCTCTCTCAATGAGAGCAAGATTACTCAGCAGGAAAGGCAGGTTTAATATCGACTTTCCTGCCCATGGGAATCTCGTGCATCTTGTCACCTGAAAATCTCTCCTTGCTGAAAATATGCTGTGCCCTTCCCAGGACCCTCCTGCTTTCTCTGTGTGGAACTTCATCTGTTCCACTAAGTGTCAACATTGCTTCTAAGTCAATGGCAAAACTCCCATTGACTTTGAAGGGAACGGAATTGACCTCTTCATAGTGATATCCCATACAAATGTAATCTACATGCACATTTTAGGGCATTGTTCTAGTTTTTTTAATTGTCTTTGAGCTAATGCTTGTTTCTGGAGTCCTTGTAGGATGGGAGCGGTATTCACCGGGAACCTTATGCAACCCAGGGCAAATTCTTTGCTTTAGCCATTAAGTCCTAGATGATGTTAACTCTCTTAATTTAACTTTGGCCGTCACTAGAACTGTTTTCCCTTTCCATTTGTTATTGCTGTTGGAAAGGCTCTGCTGTTTTTGGTAATACTCCTCTTACTGGTGTTTTATAGCATAAGAACAATACACAGCAAGGGGAGAGTTGCTGTGACATGCTGTATTAGAGCATTAAATCCATGAAAACTAATGGAGCTTTTGATGTGTGAACAAAGGTGGCTGGCGGGGGGGGATGGGAGGACAAATCCGCGTCCCAGCCGCAGCCTGAGAACTGGGCTTCCACAGGGGCTGGAGGGGAAGGAGTCACTTCCCAAGAGCTTCTACCAAGCTGGCATTCCAGCCTTAGGAGCTACAGTAGCCTCTGCACTTGTTGTAGCCCTGCTACCTGGGTCCAGCCTTGGATTTGCCCCCTTCACTCTTTCCCCAAATGCCTTCCACCCCAGAGTGATGCTGGATCCTGCCTCTCTGCACAGTGGAGCCATGCAGAGACCTCTGAGTGGCAAAGACAGGACTTGCCCGTAGCCAGTTCTCATACGGCTGCCGTGTAGTATCACTCCTACAATACTATGTGTCCAGGTAAAACCCTGGCCAGGCAATGAGAACTGCAAAAATGAGAAAAGAGGTCTGTGTTCCTTGCCCCACTTTTTGCTTCATCCTTCCCAGACCCACGAAACAGCAACAGCATCCTAAATTTCTTGCGTTTCTCCAGCTGGCCACCCGGTCTGGGCCAAATCCATCTTAGAATACAGACGGTAGCTCAGGATTTGTAAGACGGTTACCATGTTCAGTTAGGTAATGAATTGCTCTGAAGTGCTAATTGGCCAGGAAGACGTAACCCATGAGTGCCTTGTTCACAGGATGGTGGCCGGGAAAGCGGAGCCCGCAATGCCCGGGCGGTTATACGTTCATCCGGACTCGCCTGCCACGGGAGCTCACTGGATGCGGCAGCTGGTGTCGTTTCAGAAGCTAAAGCTCACTAACAATCACCTCGATCCGTTCGGACACGTAAGTTCTGGAAATGTTATTGCCAGAGGTGGGCGCAAGCCCCAGTTTGCATGAGAGTCTGAACTTCCTCAGATTTCAAGCAGGCTTGGCTCTGGGGCTCCACTTAGGAGTGGCCTCTAATTCATTAATTTTTTTATAATTATTAGTAGCATTTCCTTTATTCTATTAGGTAACTGAGAATGAGGATGTTGTAATGATACCAGATCAAGCACTCCCCACTAACTGCTTTAGTGCCTTGCACTGGCCTCTTGAAGTGCCGTGTGTGACTTGTTCAGTTATTCATCTGCGTAGCGCTATTGGGCTTCTACTCTCCGCTATGGAATTTTCAAGTCAGTGGTTTCAGATGTTTCAGCCAAAGCCTTTGATGCGTACGGTATGCAGAGTACTCAGAAACAGGTTACATAAGATCGTCATTTTCCAAGCTGGCTTCGGCACTCCTATAAAAGATGGAGTAGTTTATTTGGAAACTCTTAATTCCTGTGTATTGCAGATGTCGGTCTGGGAAGTACACTGTTATCGACCACAATACATTTAATAGCTTAGAACACTGGCCTTTCCAGACTGCCAGCCATGTGTGCGCCCGCGTAGGTAAATACAACATACTGACTAGTCTAGTTTTCACTTTGCAAGTTGAAGGACACGTACAAATAAACAACATTGACTCGAACTAGTAAGGTTAGATTTTTAGGATTTGTAGAATTCTTTTAATTTCAGTGGTCTCAGGCACTTAGCAATGCAGGTCCGAGCATTTGCTTTGCATAATAACACATGATTTTTACCTGCTGCTCCTTGAAATACTGGTGGTGTTGGGAGGGGCAGTGTGGGGGATGCCGATAGGCTTGCAAAGTGAAGGGGAAGTGGACCTGTCTTGCTCAAACTGAGCATGTAGCCATATGCTAAATGGCAGAGCTTCAGCTGGGGTAAACGGTCATAGCGTCACAATCATAAGCTATGCACAGTGTTAATTGTACAAACTACATCACACAAGGATCTGCCCCGAAGGGTTAAATCCTGGCCCCAAGGCATAACTCTGTTCCCATTTAAGTCAATAAGAGTTTTGCCATTAACTCCAATGGGTGCAGAGACTAATGCTAATGCTTTGCATTTTAGAGCATCCTATGGTGAGAAAAAAACCAAACAACCAGCCCCCACCCCAAAATCAAGTGCTCTTATTAATATAGTTGTCCTGAAATATACAAAAGTTACAACTCACTTGGAGAGAGAAATGACTTTTAAACATACTGACCTGGGGGTCTTTCCCAAAGCCCGTTGAAGTCAACAGCAGCCTTTCCAATGACTTCAGTGCATTTGGATCAGATCTATGGCATGCAAGATTTCAACAGAACCTAATGAAGCTCTTTGTGCAGTCAAATTTTGCACATTTCCCTGACTGGCTTGAGCAGAAATAAGGGTTGCTGATGGGACACTCTGCATAGGGAGATTGTATAAGTCAAATAGAAACACAATAAAATTCTAAAACAAAACAAAACCCTGAATAAGCAAATCCACTTTGCATTAACATAGGGAAAGCAGAATGCTGTAAGTCCCCAAAATAGTGCAGATCCAGTAATTTTAGGGTCTGTCCAGAATTTTTGATGCCTTTTATGACTTTATGCAAATTCGAACTATCTTCCCATTTCTAAATTTCAATGCTGCAAAGATCCCAGCCATCACAATGTGATGCCTTGATAACCCAGCTTTACAGAAAACAGTCAAGCAAAGTTGGGAACTTGACCCCCTTCTCCAACCTATTGACCCCAATGAAATGTGTGTGAACTTCAAAGACTAATCAGGACCATTTAAATGCTTACATTATTAAGCGCAGGCTTCCCCCCCCACTCTTTTTTTTTTTTTTTTTTAGGGAAAAAAACACCATGGAAATTAAATGCAAGCAACTATGCTCAGGATTGCATGGCTAAAAATGTCATCTTTGGAAAATGCCAAAATTAAGATCTCAGTGGCAGCAGTAACTTGACGGCTTTGCACACATCACATTTTTTATCCCGCCCCCTGGTTAACTGTGTATTTTAATGTATTACTGTTTATGTTGTAAAATGCATACTGTCAAACTTACAGGACGTTCACTGTGGTCATAAAAAAAACCCCCAGGATATCTAGTGTTACTGTTGGAACGTTCAGCATCTGTTTTTACTGACCTTTTATTTTTTTTTTGTCATTTTTAACTGTGCAATTTATTTAACAGACTGAGTTGGTGATTTTTTTTTAAATTTTTTCACCCATTTATTAAACGTTTTGTTTGTCACTCTGAGGACACGTTCATAATAGGAAGGGGACTCTGTTTCGATTCTCTGGGTCAGATCCTCAGCTAGTGTATGTTGTCGTCGTGCCATTGACTACAATCACGATCAACACCAGCTCAGGATTTGGCCCTCTCGCCTCATGTAATCTGTCCTCTAAGACTGCCCTTTTATCTATGATTTTAGTACAGTGTACGCTCAAGAAAAATGCCAGGAGTAAAATTTTCAAAGGTGCCTAGGTCCCATTTTCAAAAGCCTCTAAATCCCAGTGGGACTTAGGCACTTAAGAACTTTAAATCACTTTTGAAAATAGGATTTAGGTGCTTTAGAGATTTTTAATTGTTTTTTATATGCATATGAAGGAAGGCAGGACCATGTACTGGGCTAGTCAGACTTTTCCTAGCAATGCAGGATATTTCATTGCATTTGTTACACCATCACTGACACTTCACAGGGCTTGTCTACACCAGGAGCTATTCTGAAATAGTGATTCCTGATTAACTCCATGTGCGCGCGCTCCTATTCCAGAATAAAAGTGCTGTTTTCCAAATTAACGTACTCGGGTTAATCTGCTTTGAATTCACACCCTATTTTATCCCAGATTAATTGGTACCGTTACAGACCAACCTTTAGAGTATAAGCTCTTCAGGGCAGAGGCAGTGACTTTGTGTGTGTTTGTACAGTCCCTAGCACAACATAGGCACCAGTTTTGACTGGGGTCAAGGGATACTACTGCTATGTATAAATTAATAATAATCACTTTTAATTTCTAGGAGTTTGCTCTCTAAGTATTCGCAAACTCTCTCTTTATGCTCCCTAAAAACAGGTCATAAAACCCACACTGCTTGTTTGCCTTCTATTCCTGCTCTATAAGGCTAGCTGCCATTTCCTTTTGATTTTCCGAAAACCTCAAAATCACTGCGGGCCTTTTTCCTTATGCTGCAGTTACTTTCCTTTTTGGTGCACAGAGAGTGACCCAGGAAGAGGCCTCAACAGCAGCTCACTTTGGCACTGTTAGTTCAAGGGAAACGGCTAGTGCCAACCAGGTGTGTAAACATAGGGTTTCTTACCGTCCCACCAAATCTCCGCACATGGAGAGTGAACTGTTAAGTGAGCAATCCTAAAGGCCCTGCACGGTTTGCTGCAGAATCTCTGTTACAGGGCTATTGTACCCTGCTCTAAACTGCAGCTTTTTTATGTGTGTAAGTAATCCCTTTATAACATGCTTTGACATGCAGAACTCTTCTAGACTCCTTGCAGACAACGACGGCTGTCTGAGGGGGAGGCAGGAAGTTACTGCAAAATAGCTCTGCTTTTAACTACTCCATTTCTGCATTCACCTTTTTTTGGCAAACGCATCCTTTGGAAAAAATGTCTTTACAACTCCCCTGTCTATGCACGTCACAGCTAAGTTTTGGGGGGTGTTTGTTTTTTTTTCAGGCTTAGATCACGTATACCAGTGTATGGCTCTCACAAGCACATAGTGTTGCCAACCCTCCATGATTGTCCTGGAGTCTCCAGGAATTAAAGATTAACCTTTCATGAAAGATTATGTCATGTGATGAAACCTCCAGGATTACGTCCAACCAAAACTGGCAACCCTACAAGCCTGTTCTAGGCGTGCTTATCACAGACACTTGTGAAGCACAAAAAATTGTTGAAAGAAAAGGAGGACTTGTGGCACCTTAGAGACTAACAGATTTGTTTGAGCATAAGCTTTCGTGAGCTACAGCTCACTTCATCAGATGCCTTCCAAAATAGTTGGGCTCCCTGCTCCCATCTGCAGCCTCCATCGGAGACTTCCATCGTTGGGAGTTCGGCGTGCAGTGCATATCTGATCATTTACTTTGAGCACGGCTAGGCCTTGGCAGCCACACATCTGCTATCTTTATAAATACATGAATGAGTAGGCAAATCCTTTACAGTCCCCTCAATGAATTCCTTAGGAAGTAAATCCAGGCCCTGATTCTCTGCACTCCAGTAACTGATTAAGACCTTGATCTTGCAAATAACTTATGCCAGGAGTAGTCCCACTGAGTTCATAAAGCGAAGAGTGTGCAGGCCTGAGGCCTAATTAGGTAAACTGATTAATTGTAATAAAAAGACTTGGAGGCTTTGCAGAATTGAGCTCGCTCACTGAACTCAGTGAAGTATGACTGAGGATTGCTTGCGGTAGTCAGGGTTTGTGGGATCAGGCCCTTAGAGTATGCTCTGAAAATGCTCAGATTCTGACCGTGAGCTATTAACAGATTGAACAACTTATCACCTAAAACATTCACTGCTGTCACTAGGGGGGGAAGACTCATAATCAAGTCCCTAAATTTTTCACTGGTAAATTATCTGCTGTTGTCAAGTCTTTGGATTATGAACAGCGGCCGCAGTATACTGTCCAGGCATAACAAGGGGCAGTGCCTGTCTGAAAGAATTCACAGTCTAAGGGCTTGTCTGAATGAGAAAGTTGCGCTGATATAACTTAAACTGCTGAAAACCCCTGTGTGGGGAGACTTATTTAATTTTGAGTGGTTTACTTCAGTTTAGTTTAAACTGACTCCTAATCTAAACCAAAAATAAGCCTGGTTTGAGTCGAAATAGGTATCCGCACAGGAGTTTGCACCAGTTCGAAGCAATTTAAAATTGCACCTTTAGTTAAGTCAGCGTGCCTCTCTCATGTGGATGAGCCCTGAGATATCTGTGGGGAAGGGGTGGGGGAGAGAGAGTGAGTTAATTAAATATGTTTTAACT